ATGCATGAACATGTATATTATTTATATGCACAAAAACAAACAAAACATGACATATAATAAGCATATCTGTGCTGAATATGATTATTAATGGTAGGCTGGTAGCTATAACAATACAATTAATAGTGAACATCTCTAGGGACACTATACTCACACTAGATTACAGTACAATACTACAATAGTACATGAACATGCATAACTACATTATTTACTGCACCTCTGATCCTCTGTATAACATACTCCTTAATATCTAATGAAATTAAACACAAAGAATTATCATAATAACAACATTTACTAATAATAACTCACAATATACTTACTTCAGTAGTCATGACAATACACGATGCTGTTGGATTAATGGTAGTGTCTCCAGTCATTAGTCCAACATCTTTAAACTCCTCATACATCTCCCTGTACTTCTGGTTACTCAATGCCTTGAGTGGTGTAGTATAAATGACACGTTGACGATCCCTCAGTGATACAGCAATGGCATACTCTGCTACTACAGTCTTTCCTGCTGAGGTGTGGGCTGAGACTAGGACTGACTGGTTGTTCTCGATGCATTGGACAGCTTTCCTCTGGAAACTATCCAATTTAAACGGATACTCCTAGAGGGACACATAATCAAAACAACAGACATTGTTTAAATTTAAATTTGTATGTACATGTACTACATTTTACAGTTCAGATACCTTAGAGTGACTTTTAATTGCGGGTACTAAATTTTGCGATTTTAGCACAAGGTAGATTTTGCTGGTATTAAAAATTGCGATTAAGTAATTATTACTAATAGTTATATGGCATCATGATGTCATTATTAATAATTGTGCGTATTAATAATTGCGATTTTAACCCAAACACAAAATTCGCAATTAATAGTACCCGTATTTAAAAGTAACCTTAAGGTACATGTAGATATAGAAGCTAGTATAGATCTAGAATTAAGTACACATGTGAATAGCAGCATTGCAGCCAGTTACATGTACACTGTAGTAGCATAGTTCATTTATTCACTTAGTAGGATACTTATACATGTACTTATTACATATACAATACACACACGTACATATACATACATACACGTGTACATATGTAAGTTATTTATAACTTTAAGAGTAGCACATGTGACATACTTTTGCAGGTTTTTCGTTCAGCGGTTTCAAAGACTCAAACTTGTAATTTGCAGGAACAGAAACCTTGAAAAAGAGCAAATGAAAAAAAAAACATTATTAAATACATGTATACACATGCTCAAAAGTTAAAACTAAAATGTTCATTCACTAGTTATTTCTTCAATAATAATCATCATGCTGAGAATCACCTTACTTCATGTGTGCAGGTGTCTTCAGTATCAATGTTGACAATAATGGCTGGTTCACCAAAAAAAGGAACCTTCTTTGTATCTTCAAGCTCAATCCTAACAAAGACTAATATATAATGGACATTTCTTTTACACATGTACATGTACATGTATATATACTGTATATTTGAGAGCACTTAATTTTGGTGATTTTACTATTAAAAATGCACTTAGTGGTTTTTAATTTGGCAATTTCGGTACACGTGTGCATTAGTTTTTGGCAATTTGAATTACTTGAACTTGCCAATAGCCCCACCCCCACAAAATTAACATACAACACATCTTAAATGTACATGTACTATATGTATAAAGGTGTAAATTAAGTCAAAGCTCAAAAAATCAAACAGTAAAACTGTATTACTGTACAAATCATTTTATAGCTACCTTTCATCTTCTTGCTTCTCAGTGGAGTCATCATCATCAGCTTCAAGACTGTCCAGGTCTAGTTTCTGTCTTTTGGTACGAGTGGCCGAGGACTCGCGCGGGGAAGAGGAACCATTAGACGAGGCTCTTTTGGCTGGCCTTTTCTTTTCACTCCCAGTGCTAGACTCTTCATCAAAGACGCTGAAAAGATCACCAGAGAACAGCGCCATTTTAAACACCACGTGTCTTTAAATTTTAACTTGAAAAATTGTCTAAAAATTTGATTAGCCATCCTCAAAATTTTTTGAATTTTTTTGCAGACCTAGCCCGTCCCACTAGCAAGCTAGCACGTCAGCTCACAAGGTGATAAAATGTCTTCTTCTCTGGTCATTTTCTTCTCTTTCTTGGCTCTGACTGCTGTGGCCAAAGACGTCGAGCTTCCCAGATTCACCATTGATCTTGACCAGCCACCAGAAGAAAGATGGACGGAGATTGCTACCCAGTATACAAAAGAGCTGAAAGAAACAGTGGAATTTTTTGCTAAAACTTACGACGAATTATACGCCATGCTCAGTATACTTGGTGGAGACGTAGATAAGTATATACCAGATCCTTATGCTGGGGAAATAAAAGGAATAGCCTCCACTACTGGGGTTACTGCTGGAGAGATCCTCTTTATTAACATTATTTATGGACTGACAGCATTTGGTGATAAAAGCTCCTCGAGCAAGTCTCTGCTAGGCTGCACGAGTATCGTGAGCCAAACAGAATCAGGGAATATTCTACACGGAAGGAATCTTGATTATGGTATTAGCCTCCTACGTAATATAGCAATTATTGTTGATTTCCAAGTGTCAGAAGTGACTACATTCACTGCCACTACTTTTGCTGGTTATGTCGGAGTCCTTACTGGGCAGAAAGCAAACTCCTTCACAATTTCGCTTGACGAAA